TCCATTTTGGTATCAGGAGCACATGATGTGCGAAGAGGTGGCACGTTTGCGCCTACGGGCAGACAACCGGTGCGACATATCTGTTAGTATAGGTTGCCTAATTCAAGGGGCTAATTTTCTGTACGGTTCGTTCATGTGCTCCTGTGCGAAGAAGTGGCACGAAAAATACATGGTACGTTAAATTCTGAGGACATTTTATATGTTGGTATCAGGAGCACATGATATGCGAAGAGGATCTGCTTCCGCGTCTGGCTTCCGTTTCGATGCTTATCTGAACAGGCTGACAATTCCAATAGAGTCCCGTTGGACTCGTACGCCGATGGCAACAGGCAGGAAACGAATCTCGAAACACGGGATCGCCCGAAGAGAATCTTTTCACCCTCTCCAGCCCTTGCCCTCGTCCTTTCCACGGACCTGACATCCCTCTGGCAAGAACTTCCTTCGTCGCTGCAACCAACGCGTCTGTGGTGCCACTGCTCCAGGCCTATTCCTCCCAGGAATTGTTTTCTTATCTCTGGCCTGGGCTTCACGAAACGTTTATTAGTGGCCTCAGCCTCTGGCCAAAAGGCCACTCCCCCATTCCCATTCTGGTTTAATTGCTGATCGGTAATCATTGAAATGGTTTAGTCATTTAGATAAGACTGGGAGTATTGAAAGATTCGAGCCAGACGCTTAAGCAACCTCGCGAGGCAATTCTGTAATGGAATGATCAATTATTATTATTATTTTGAATGTGATTTGTAGCTGTAAATAAATTCTTTTAGGGGGTTAGCTAGCATCAATAGAAGACATGCCACCTATTTGGAATTTTTATAACTGAAACTTTGAAATGCAGGACATTTGAAAATGAAATATTGAAATTGGAAAATGGAGTAGCACCTGACATTTCTACAAATAGTTTCTAGGCTAGTTAAATTTTAAGAAATTAATAACTTATCATTAATTATTAGTTAATGCATGGAAAGGCTCAAAAAGTTTTACTTTTCTTATCTCTCGTTCCATTTCGCGACCTTATCGAAAACGTTGTACAAAGCACAAAAACGATATATACCCCAAACCTCGAACAGTAAATCCCCATCATCGAATAAAATGTATCCAAGGTAAGTAAAGCGCATAATTTCTATTTCATTAAACCGTGAAAGTTGTGGCATACATTCGGGCCAGCAAAAGTGAAATAATTAATTCATCCTCGTATTTAAAGCCAAACTTTGTAGCTTCCACTCGAGTAAGAGTTTTAATAGACGCTCAAAGTCGAGTCTCGGAGTTTCAACAGATGCAACCCCGAATGGAACAATTTTGTGAAAATTAAAGCCGATGTCGCAAAACTTCGTAGTGGTGGAGAAGGAGTAGGAGGAGGGGGTGGAATTTAATTCCTCCACGCCAATGTTTTCATAAGCAGCCATTGTGCGAGCCACCGAAGAAAGTATAGAGATCTCGAGGAAAATGAAACTATCCTCGTGGTAGGGAACTTAATTCGCAGTTTCCAGTGGCCGCAGTACCGTGTCGCTGCGACCGGGTGCCGGCTATCTGCCAATTTATCTAAAATGGCTAAAAACCCTCACCTCAATTAGGGGTAGGCCGCGTGGCGCTGGCGGGATCCCGGAAAGCTCGAATTTCCCCAAGAGGTTGTTGTCCTTGGTCATCGCCCTCTCGCCCTCGTAAACCTGGATCAGAACGCTCGACTGACCGTCCGCATAGGTAGTGAAAGTCTGCGTCTGGTTGGTAGGGATCGTGCTGTTGCGTTTGATGAGAGAAGTCATCATGCCGCCTGCTGTCTCTATGCCGAGGGACAGGGGAGTCACGTCCAGCAACAGCAGGTCCTGGACAGTCTCCGACTTGTCACCCTGCAGAATGGCGGCCTGCACTGCCGCGCCGTAAGCTACGGCTTCGTCTGCGTTTATCGATTTGTTCAGCTCCTTCCCGTTGAACAGATCCTGTCGAGGAACGGTGGAAATATCGGCTACCGTTCGTCTATCGATTTATCGACGACTCGCAGGACATCGTACGAGTAAGTCTCTACTGTTGATTTATGTCATGTACATGATTTATGTGTAAGATAATTAGTATGATGATGTTGATGACGAAGTTTGCAAACCTTTCACCCCTTTTTGTCTCCAGTTTTCTTTGACATGATTATTATTGACGACAGAGGGTTTTTTAACGAGTGTCTTTAATAATAATGAAATATCATAGGAAGCAGGTTTACTCCAGGAGGTGGAGTCCATGAACAACTATTTGTGAAATACCGAACTCTAATTATATTACGAGTCGAAATGCAACACTCCACATGTCCTTAGAACTGCATCCTGTCCACCTGCGTCCTGTCACTTTCAACATTGACCGAACCATATCATAAAAACCAAAATATTTGATTCACTATTAAAAATTCAAGCTTCCAGGAAACATTCACGTATTTGTAGATTTGGAAAATCTATCAACGAGCAATTACATCCTTGATCCCTTCGCCGCCGAAAACGTCGAATTACGTTGATTAGGTACGGTAAAAGAGTTGACCGTTAATCGAAATTAATTACAATTTATCGGCTGGAATCACGGTAGACGACGATTTCAATTACCATTATTGCCGTGGATGATAAAAGTCGAAACCCTTCATCGCGTTACAGGCTATAAATATATTCGAACGGGCCGCGCGTTTAATGGCACTGGTAACGCAACGACTATGCATAGGGTAAGGCAAACGCGAGTGTTGACTTTGTCATCGAGCTCATTAATTTTGTAACGTTTCTCCCCCTTGGGGGTCCCCAGTGTTGTTCCTGTCTGGACCCCTCGTCCAGCTTTTCGAACCCCACTTAAAACGCTCGTCGCTGGGGGTGGCGCTCGGTGGCAGCTAGGAAACATAATCGAATTTTAATGCGTTTTATCATCGAATCTACTCTGCGTCATCCCGACTTCATTCTAACGAAGCAACTTCGAATGTTAGCTCACCCGAGGAGGCCCGAGGGTGACGCGCTTCGCGTTGGCATTTGTTCAGCGATAGTGTTTGAAATTCTGAAGCTATTGATGTATGTCTCGATAGCGAGAGAATCAACGAGCCAGCAATTGTTTAATGTTCAATTCTTAAGGGGGTTGGATTGATTTTTTAATATGGTGGATTTTTTACATTTTTATTTTGAAAGTACCAACACTTTCGCTATAATTAAGTACGACACATAGAAAAAAAGCCTATAAACACTTTCCTTATTCCCTTAAACATATAAACACCTGCTAAGCTATCGCCAATATCGCCCGTAAAATCTCACGCAGGCATTCTCAGCATTCCAATCGCCATCGCCGCGCAAACGGCCAATAAAAAATGAGCGTTACACTTGAATAGGTTTCCACGCCAGATCGTAGCTCTTCGAACGAACGTTTTCCTCGCGAATCGAGAGGAACACTCGTGCCAAAGATAAATTTTTCCACGTGGAAATATCACGTTTCGTTGCCAAATAAAATAACCTGGAGGAGTCGCTGTATTCGCGGGATCCGGGTTGAGCCGCCCACGAGCACTACGTCGTGTATCTGCGATTTCTCCATCTTGGCGTCGCGCATAGCCTCCTCGACCGGCTGCAGGGTGTTCCTGAAGAGATCTTGGTTCAGCTCCTCGAAGCGGGCGCGGGTGATCGACGTGTAAAAGTCGATCCCGTCGAGCAGCGAGTCGATCTCGATGTTCGCCTGCGTCGACGACGACAGGGTCCTCTTCGCGCTCTCGCACGCCGTTCGCAGCCGACGGATCGCCCGCTTGTTCTTCGTCAGGTCCTTCTTGAACTTTCTCGAGAACTCTTGCGAGAAGTATGTCACCATACGATTGTCGAAGTCCTCGCCTCCCAGGTGGGTGTCGCCGGCTGTTGCTTTAACCTGAAGGGACGACAGACGAGCGAACGTGGGAACAAGTGTGAACGACCGACAAGAGCGACTCTGTTCTTAGATGGATGTAGGTCGCGCAGAATTCGGCTCGATAATGCAATGATTAGATGTAAATATTGGAGTACTGGGTGTATTTATAAAAGAGGGACGGGAATTGGAAACTGAATTATCGGGATTGATTGTAGGTAGGGATATGTAGATAGGTATTTTGGAGAGAATAATTTATTCTGGTTCATTTAACATGGAAATTGAAGTTTTAATTCAACTTCTGTGTTTGGTTTGGAATGTGCATGGTAAGAGTGAATGGAAAACATCATTCTTTTTATACATTTGTTGAGGTTTATTTCAGTGGTAGAGTGCCTTTCTTGATCCTGGATTAGATTTGTGGATGGACGTGAACTATGTCTTACCAAGTGGGAGTTTTTTGTTGAAACGTTGGTAAGGTTGAAGTTATTTATGAAGGTAATCAAATTTAACAAACAAAATCATAAATGATAAGTGCAAAAATAATGTTTGTAATAGTAACAGATTTTTGTTAGTAACAAATCTTAATCGTTTTTAATGAATTTCATGTTAGTGGAAGTCTCTTCCTGATCGACAAGTAGCTCCATCTCAGAGGAATCCGACGCGCCTGTATGGGGAACGCGATTTACACAGACTCACCTCGAATATGCCATCGTTGATAGTCAGTATCGATACGTCGAAAGTACCGCCGCCAAGATCGAAGATCAGAACGTTCCTTTCACCGCGTCCCTTTTTGTCGAGGCCGTAAGCAATAGCCGCGGCAGTCGGCTCGTTAATGATCCTCAGGACATTCAAGCCGGAGATAGTGCCTGCGTCCTTGGTAGCCTGACGCTGAGAGTCGTTGAAGTACGCCGGTACCGTAATCACGGCGTTCGTGATGGTCTTCCCTAAATAAGCTTCCGCAGTTTCCTTCATTTTCGTCAAAACCATCGAGGAGATCTCCTCGGGAAAGAAGGATTTCTCCTCGCCCTGGAAAGTAATGCGCGACGAAAAATTGACTGAGAAAGGGGGCCACAAAGCTCTGGTAAACAGCTGCTTCCTCTTTCATTCGTTGGTCTTTAAAAGCTGCCGCCCGCCAGGCTTCCGAAAATTGTTTCCCTAGCGATGTGAAAAACGATTTACTACCCCTGGAATTTCCTTCCGACGACTTAGCTTCCTGCCAATTATTACAAAAGAGGATGGCACAGAGATACTAGACTCTAGTTAAATTAATTATTAACGATATTTGTTTAAACAATTACCGAGTATGTGATTTTTCTGTTATATTAACGTTTCGTCGATTCTATCGTTCTTGGACCAATTGTGCAACCAAAGGGTTTATATGGGTTAATTAATTTCACAGCGAACAGAGAAAGCTCAAAGCCTCGAAAAATGTGGCCATGAGAAACAAGTTTTGCCAATCGCCCTCTCTAAATGAACCTCCAGCTTAGGTGCTCTGTCGTCCTGTCGAAAATAGCAACGACATTTTCGAACGACAAAGTTGAACTAAATATCCCGCGCGTGTAACTAATTACATTTTCCGTCAAAATGTCAAAGCGAAGCCTGGCGAACATTGACGTTCGTTAACTGAACAAACTTACTTTGTATTGGACGCGAATTTTCGGCTTTCCCGCGTTATTAACGACGGCGAACGGCCAATGTTTCATGTCGGACTGGACTGATGGATCATCGTAGCGCCTGCCAATCAGCCTCTTCGCATCTGTCGGAGGGTTTCATTTAACCTTGATTTTTGGTAGTGCTCGATGGCCGATACTCACGCACAAACTATGCTCAAACTCAAGCTACGTTCACGGTCATAGAATGCTTGAGCTGAAGAGGTGCTTGCGTTTTAACAATGCTCGCACTCAAGAACGTTTCAGGTTTAAGCAATAATTACGGTCAAGAAAGTCTTGAACTTGAGCAATGTTCTTATTCAAGAAATATTGAAGCTCGAGCTATGCTCACACAAACAGTACAAGCATACTATAATGCACTTTAATGCAATGCTCGCACTGAAGAAATGCTTATTTCTATTTTGTTTTATATTTTCCTATTTTAAAAAGCATTCTTCCACTAGTCCCAGAGGAATGTTCTAGTAAGGTAGACTTTAACCTATCCTTCTAAAAGGTTTCCACACATCCAATAATATCGCACCCCCAAGATCATTCGATCATTTCCCCTGAAAACCAAGGGATTCTGGACGTCTCGTTAGCGATACCTGTACGCGAAATAGAAAACGGAGCGTTCCGGGATTGAATTCCCGATAACCACGACGAAGTCCGGCGATTTGGCAGCGGCAGCTAGGATTACAAGAATCACGGTCGTTTCCGGGCTTCCGGTCGGAGTTGCCGGCCCCCGCGAAAGCAACGCGACCGGAAGCCGCTGTAAAGTCGCGAATGCTCCGGTTTCGTCGCTGCCAAATCGACTCACCGCTACGGAATCCGCAGTCGCTCGTGGACGAGGTCGGAATGCGCTCGCTGGTCGCGGCTATTCGCTCGTTTACGATGTTAAGAGCGTAGCCGGTGATCGTTCTTTCCTCGATCCGCGGGCCAATTACGCGATCGTTGCCAGCATTCGGTATCGACCGGTATCGGGGAAACCTAATGGCTCGTTCCCACCAGCCGTGAATGAAATTACTGTCGATTGATAACGAATTTCGATAATAACGTTCATTAAATTCGTCAATTTCAACGTTGCTTTAAAATACGATGAAGAGGATATGTTGTGTTCTGGCGTAAGAAAAAATTCACTACTTATGTTTTAAATAATATTACTTGGTGGAATGATGTGACTTTGATTTATATTAATTTATGTTAGCTTTGTACATTTCTTTGCTGTTTTTGTAAATCCGTTCTTGAAGAGGGCCAAATAAATGAAGTGTCATGAACAACCCCCACTCATATTTATAGACATCTACAGACGACAATTCGTGAAATGTTAGCATAAAACAGACCTCAGGGGCTGTAGCTGTGCTTGGTCGTAGCTCCAGTACGGGTTTGGCGAACCCGAGGTACCCGAGCTTCTTCTAGGCCCATTAAGCCTTACCAAACCCCAGACAGAACCAAACAAAGTCTCTCCAATTCACGAGATTTCACAAGTGGTAGAGTAAATATTGTAAAAAAAAAAAAAAACAAATAGCAGAAAGCAGCAGTATTAAAGACTCCGACAGGTAGAATTCCTTCATCTAACGAGGTACAACCTACTACATCAATTTTCCCTTTTTATTTCGCAATTCCCAGCAGTTCCATCCCCTATTACCTACCAAAAATCGTGTTTGTGGGATTCATGGCCACTTGGTTCTTGGCTGCGTCGCCGATTAACCTCTCGGCGTCCGTGAATGCAACGTAGCTCGGCGTGGTGCGGTTCCCTTGGTCATTGGCGATAATTTCAACTTTTCCATCGCGGAAGACACCGACGCACGAGTACGTCGTACCCAAGTCGATGCCAATCGCCGGTGCTGCCATTGTGGACCCGATGAAATTTCGGATGCCAAACGGGAAACGGGACTGTCTCGACTGTTTCGACCGTCGCGTCTCGCCTATTGTCTTCTTCCTTCCAGCGCCGCTCGCGATTGCGCTAAATTACGCGGCGACGGGAATTCTGAATATACAGGGAGCGCCGCGCGATTCGAACGAATCGTGTCGCCCGTCACGTTGAAATTAGAAAAATTCGGGGAACTTGCGTCGCTGGGAAATTTAATCACGAATATTTGTCACCGGTCTGGGGTTGAAGCTGGGGCAAGTTACGTGGTTTCATTCTCGCTGCCGTTCCTGTTCCAAGTAGTTTTTTGTTGTAGATGATTGTTAGTGTCCTTGGGTGAGTTATATATATCGTTCCTCATTTTTAATACGTGATTTTATTTCTAAATTCTAGTTGAATCAGAGAATTTAAAACACATTCCATATTCAACGAGGTCAATGCTCAATTAATAAAAATCAATAATCGACAACCTAATTCTGCATGAATTAAATGTAAATAAAAATTGTGAACGCCAGGCCTGAGTGGATTAAGGAAATCCTTCAAGAAAGCTTGATAACAAGAACAATGTATTTCGAAAGTAATTAATTACTTACAACATTACTTCCTATACTCTTTAACGAATTCTCGCGACAGTTTAACGACTCGTGTAATTGTATGATCCGTGTAAAATTTTAAACAGCCTCCAATTAAAGCTCCCCCGAGCAAGTTCGTTTGTTTGATTAAGACGTTCCCGGAGTTTATTTTAGTTTCATTAAGATATCGCGAAATTGCAATTCTTGGCGAGTTCGCTCGGCATGGAAAACAGAACGAAACGCGTTTCGTTTAAAAAACAATCAGCGCGTCGAGGCCAAGGAAAACAGAGGATCGGATGCTACGCGGACTGCGACGTGACATAAATTAAGGAAACGTGTTTCTACGAGTGCGCCGGTTTTATGCGCGACAAAGAAATACCGCTGAAGGAAAGACGTAATCTCGCCGGTTTCCGAGACGCTTCCCATGTTGGCACTGTTTGCCAACTCGGTGCCGGTCTAGCGCGACGTTTCCGTTCGTCGTTTGATCATTGTGCAAATTACGGCGTGGGTTGTTCCACGCCAAGTCGATCACTTTTCGAGGTCGACGTACACGTAAAATTTAGGAGACTTTAGAATCTAGAGTTTCGAGTTTAGTTTTTAATTTAAAGTGCGGCGGAGTTCAATCTAAAGTCAGAATGGAGGTAGAATTTTTCAATTTTTATTTTTAATCCTCCAAAGTAATACCTTCTGGTATTATTAAGAGGAAAAGGACAACTGGACTCAATTTTCTTTAGACTGGAACATCTTTATGGCATTGTAAAAATTATTAGTAAATTCAGTTGTATAAAAACCTGAAAACAAGGAATATATTAAATAAAGTTGCTTCTTCGAAATTCGCTTCTTACAACCCCTTATAATTTTGTCATCAATTTGAAATCTGCGAGACGATGACTTAAACTTCCTTTAAATTTACCTGAATTCTATTACAATTACAAATAATAATTTAAAAACCCTTCCGTTTTGTGTGAGCTACGTCCCACTTTAATTATCAAATAAAATATCTGACAGAGGCCGTAAAAAGCGATCGATTCAGCGTGAAATGAGCCAACGACGATCAAGATCGAGCAGGACCGTCGGTGAATTTCGCGCGACGCGTTCGATCGCGACTCGTCGATTCTCCTCTGTCGAGGAAGGAACGCCAACGTTCGTGACCAGGATTACGAATCGTTCCGCCGCTGATGATAGTCCATTCCTGGCGTGACGCGCACAAAGGGACGCGCTGATACGGCCTATCCCATTTATGGTCCCATAATAAACTTTCCGTTCCGGACGATGTCGGTTTTCCTGCGCGAATGATCGATAACCGTGAACTGGAACGCCAGCCGAAAAGAATATCCGCGCGCACTTGCGGGACCTCATTGACCCCTGGAACGAGAGAAATGTTTGCCAGGTACGAAACTAGATATGGCATTCTTACGTTAGAATATATTACTTGCCGATATCTAGAAGAAATATGGTCCATTGTATCTCTACATCAAGATTGCATGCGTGATTTTCACGAGATATTGGTATGTGATCGAATAATATTTTATACAGTTTATTTATTATACAATAGAGTTTAATTGCAAAAACAAAATACGAGAAAAATCAGCTTGAAATACACGTAAGTGAACGAAGAAATGAAAATTAATTGGATTATATTTAAAACCAGATCATCCTCTTTCTATCATAATTTAGAATTATATTAAAGAAATAGAGAGTTATTTATATGAAAAATGTTATTGAAATATCTTGTATTAAAATATTAAAATATACAATATTAAAATTATTTTTACATTCAGGAAAGTATTCCAAGTTCGCAACTTATTCGATACCATTTTCATTTTATAAAATGCTTAACTAGGGAAGAGCGAATAGTCTATACTAGAGCACACGCTTGCAACGAACACATTTTTAGCGCGTGGGTATGCACAGACAAAACTTACGTAGCCAATTACCCCTCGTCGGAATTAATTCAACGACGTGTCTTCTTATCGGAAGCGGAACAGGAGCGCCTGAACATACGGAGGAGATCCGCCCCAACGTGGTCCACGTCGTCGAGAAGCTTCTAACGAGACGCTGCTCGATAAATTTAGCACGAAGGGGAGCCACGAACGCCGGATGTAACGCATTGATTTACTTATCCTTTCCCGAACATCAACAATATAGTCACTCTGAATATTTTTAATATTAGGTTCAGGGCGAAAGAATTTGACAATTCGAACGGAGTCGATTTAACCCGTCCAGCAAACGTAACATAGACCAATTCCGCTACCACTCCAGTTACCAAAAATTGATCTCACCGCTTTGCACCTGTAATCTCCAGCTTCATGTTTTGTTCTTGACCACGAGTGGTGAGGTTTGTTACGCTGAACTGACCGTAGTTGACCGCCATTTTTGGAGATACAAAGCTCACTCCGCGATTGTAGTGCAAGTACGAATAATTTTGTCGTTTAATTGCAGTAGCATGTGATAACAAACACGACGAGGAGGTTTAGATGTTTGCTTACGCGTCAAATAGTTTTCGATTCTTAAATGTCTGCTTCCAGATGGGACCCAAAACGAAGATCAGAAACTTTAAGCTCGATAAACACCCGGTTGCCTACCAGAACCGATAAAATTTTATTCCACGAGCATCCTGTTTTCCTATCTTTATTCGTATCAAACGGGAAGCCAGCAAGTTTCATTGGTATTTTGATGAAACAGAATCTCCCCGTAGGGATCGAATCCGGTACGAGTAATCCGATTACTCGACTTTCCTTGTACGCCACGCAGAAATTGTGTGCGGCGCTGATCGAACAGGGCGAAGAAACCACGAACGATAAGTCACGGACGGCATGAAAATGTGCGTGCAAAACTACGCGGAAGGGGGTTGGGCGCGAGGGGGTATTCCGCGTGGAACGGGACAGAGCCGCGAGGGGGAAATAAAAACGGGTTGGAAGGAAAGTACACAGTAAAGGCGAGGGGTGCGAGTACTGGAAGGGGAGGTGACGCGAATATCGAGATTGGATCGGGGAGGGGGATGGTGTGGGTAAACCTCATAAATATGTCGTCAGGCCGGTAAACAAGGGCACGCGAAGTCGGTACAAGCCGTACGTTCGTTCACGAGCCTTGTACACGCGCGACGTATTATAGAAGCGTTCGATGGTCGTGGCCGCGGTCGTGGTCGTGGTCGCGACCGGGATTTAAAGGCCGGGAAATTTATCGTTCCGTGAGGAGGCGGACAGAAGCGACGAAAGGGATGAAGCAGCGCGGAGGGAGGGAGGGTGGATTGCACGAATGGCTGCAACGAGCAGGAAGAGGGCGAAGAAACGAGCGAAACGCGAAGAGAAAGAAGGAAGACAGCGAGCGTCAAAAAGCTCTGGCAGACGACCGGAAAGCAGTCGTCTCGAACCTCCTCGCCTCCCCTCGCAATCTGGCCGCGATTCAACGACCGTTCCGTCGGCCCTTTTCACCGTGGTTACCGTTCTCGCCAGCCTGGATGTGTCCCGTTCCAAAAAAATCGCGATTTTTGAGGGGTGTATCATATCTTGTAATCATGTATATCATGAATTCCAATAGTATTCCTAGTAAAAAGAACCCCAAAGCTGTCCGCTATCACTAACTCTATTTTGCACACACTCGTCAACACGGAAACGCGTATCAAAGAGGAGTCTCGGTAACGACGCGTCCGCTCGAAGCGCGCGCGACGCGAATCGGCTTCACGATGCCCGGTAATCTGCCGCGGCGAGCGCGACGACTCCTGTCGTATTTCTCTACGGATAATAGACGTCATAAATAACGAGGCTGATATTGAATGAGAGAAAAGTGGGAACCGGTTACAATATTTTCAGTGCATCGGCATGGCTCGCGGGGCCTCGCGGAGAGAACGGCCGGAGAGCCCGTAGGAAGAGAGTAGAGTGGGTAACAGCACGCTGCAACATTTCGAATATAAGTTAGCCGGATATTGTCCGGCGCGGGGCGAATGGTAAGGGGCTTAGCAGCTCTCGAGCAGCGGCCAATATGGTGGTTACACGAGGATGAAACGATATAAATCCCGAAACGCTTACAGTTATTGCAGATCCAACGTAATATCCACTCGAACGCTGCCTGGCCGGCCGGTTTACGTGGTAATTCGCCGATGACAGCGTCGCGATAAAATGAATATCGGTCCGCTGGCTTTTATAACGGGCTTCGACGCGGTATACTTCCACCCCACGGAAACTTGACGCGGTGGCCGTCGAAAATGAGACGCGCGATGACTCGCGGTGAAATGGAAAACGAGTACGAGTACTCGGGGAAATCGTAATTGTAGGATCCGGTGTGGTAGTCGCGTAAAAGGGTAGATGGTATTCGTGGATTAATTGTGGTGAATCTCCAAGCCATCCAGTGTTAATATTTCAGTAACAATTCCGAAGTTGGAGCATATGACGAAGTTCGAGATAGTATACTGTGGACCAAACTCTTCTCATAGCGAGACTAAAATATTTTTTTGAATGTACACCCTATTGCAAGAAAATGTTAATATTCATAAATGATCAAAGTAAATATGGGCATTGTTGTAAGTGTTCAGGAATATGACAGTCTACCATAAAATAATATATCGTAAAGAATCAATTTTGCAATTTAGAATCACAATAAACGAAACGCCACTTTCCATTGGATGAAAATTTAGTAACATTCCATCCGTTGCTTGGATCTCAAGTTAATTGCTTCCACAATATATACACTTGATCCAATTCAACAATATCCCGTGTCTTTATAATGTCTATGTCATTTATACCCTTCCTCCCAATTCAGTTTTATCACGTGCTTTTATTAACAGTGTTAAATTTCATATGTTCTTAACTATTTTTATCTTCGCGAATAATTGTGTCACAAAATGTCACGCGACCACCGCAAGGTTAACGTTCGTATAATCGATAAGTAAAAGTATTTTTACGACTCTGACTCCAGCGGGACCCGAATCGCTCGTGGCC